GTTGTCCTCATCTGTGTTCTCCTTCAACACAATAGAACTATGTTTATAACATAGTAGTTTGTAGAGATTGTTTTAGGTTTCATATTAATGTTAGCCGGACAACAATCATCTAGTAATTGAATACTAATGAATTAAACTTGGGAAAAAGTTCTAAAAATATTACTAAATTAGTATGGAGATTTGTGGAGATCATAATATTTTAACAATTAAATTTACGAGTTAATCTAAGCTAAATCACCATTGAAAATCTGGAAGCACTAGATGGCCATTTTATCCTGTTATAAAACTTCTTCAAAGAAGTCCTATGCTATTCTAATTAAAATTAGAGGTTGAGAAAACTTTTAAGGATATTAAAATAATCCAACTGAAGATACAACATATATTTGCCATAAACAAGAACTATATTAAAGAGGATAAATCTGATTTATCATAGACTTTTAAAATAAAATTGTTATTTTATGTATATTCAATCGTAATGTAAATTACTAAGATTTAGATTACCAACCACAATTCAAATAATGAAATGAATTGAAAACCTTTAAAGTAGGAAGGAATAATTACAATTTTCCATTCTTCTTATTGATTTTTCTGATAACATTTCAATCAGATAATAATAATAACCATTACATTCTCCATTAATTGAACAAAGGGAATATACATGAAATGCTCAATTTGTTGATCATACGTTGATTATTTTCCAAACAAAAAAAAAAGATATGAAATCTGTATTTACACATTGAAAACAAATGGAGAGATCACCAACAAACAAATCGAACAAGAGATAATTAATTCACAAATTAATTTACTGAACAAAATGAATTTGTAAAAGAGAGAGAAATGTGTAATACTTTCTTTCATAGTTAAATAGAAAAATGAATAAATGAAGATTTAGAAAAGTAAAAAAAGTTATTTCTGAAAAAAAAATGTTTAGCTTAAATGGGAAAGTTTTATCACATTTATTAGACTTTATCTGATAGGAATAAAATATTAGTTTGAAATGATAAAAGCTGATAAAGTCACAAATGATAACTGTTAAAATCTGCAACCGCCCACAAATCCACATACTGATGATAATTATGTACTTACTAGTGACTATCTGCATAGTGGATTTCCTGAAGTTCTAGTTAGAAGCCGTGATCAGTGTAGTTCAATCCGTGTAGGGTATAAGAGAGTTACCCACCTTGGACAATGGATGAAGGGTTGCGTAAGATCATGGATCAATGGAATTTGGAGATTAACACCATTGGATGTTGGTTTAGTGGTCTATATTTTAAGCGTTCACGCGCGATGCCGAAGGTACTGAGTTTGAGTCTTGCGTGAAGAATCGTGGATGTGCACTGCTGAGAAGTCTTATACTAGAATGAAGTGGCCGTCCAGTGGTTCCATGTTTCCAGTGATAGTCTAGCTTAGATCGACACATTAATTCAAGTGTTAAAATAACAAGATAACTTAAATGTTTTGAATAACCTTTATTGTAATGAAAGATTATTAGGATGAGATTACACATTCTATCAAATATTTCTATGGTTATATTTACTAGTCATAACTGGATTTCTTTCATTTGTTTGGTATGTCCTAGAAAAGGGATTCCATCAAACGATGCAATATCTTCGAGTCAAGAACCTCAGTCATCTCCACAAATTCCAGCAGTTGTTAAACCACGACGTGGATCCATATTTGTTTCAGCACTTGCAGCGGAACAACATGGCGCATCATCTTTACCAACAGATAATACGTAAGTTAGAGTGTTCATGAAAACACCTCATATTTCATTTGATTTAACTAATAGTCATGAAAGCTAATCAATAGTTTGAGGCTATAAAACATTTTCCTTGTAAATAATTTAGCAGTTTACCTTGGTGATTATTTTGCATCATATAGAATTAATGAAGCATATGATTAGATTAAAAGTATTAGTCACCACGAAAATAGTAACAGACAAATTTTTTCCTCTTTAATGAACATCATTCTAAAGAGTAACAAATTATTCGCATCGTCTCTCCATTTACAATGATCAAGGCAGGCAATAAAATGAATTGACATATTAGATTTTTTAAAGGATAACAAAAGTAAAAATTATTATTACGCAAAGCATGTCAAAGCATTTCAATGTGTTTTAAAATTTTTGTTCTGCAGTTGTTTACAATTATTATGACGAAAAAAGGGTAGCTTGATAGAGAATGAATTGTTTTAGAGTATAGACGAATTCGATAATCCTTCCTAGTTTTATAATTATAGTCATCTACCTATCTTGATAAACAAGTCACATTCTAAAATGAACACATCATGTCATTTAGCAGTTGTAACTTTTTGAGAAACAAACTGAAATCATGTATTTCAAAACGATAGTTACAGTGTACCAACTCGATTATACTAATTTATCTTACAGATATAAAGTCTGTGCACACTAGTCAGCTGTTAAACAGTGGATTTACTGATCAGTGAAACATATTCTAAATTAATCCATTCCAAATTGAAGTAATTTTGTAAACTTATATAATATTCATATAATCATAATCATATCCTGATTTGTTCACTGTCAATTCCTATTTATGATCAGTAAAGGACCCAATAATAAACCGACAGTATATCCTATTGATATTTGGTTCGGTAAAATACAAATCTATTTAACTTACAAAATGGTGAATTATCATAATTATATGGTTTATGCAAAATGTCTGTCTTATTAATTTATGGTGACTATTCAAGACTAAAAAAAAACAAGCTTTATTGGAAGAATCCAGAAAGAAAGTACCTTAGAAAAAGTAAAATAAAAGTCTACAGTAAATTTGACAAACAAAACGTTGCATAAATTATGCATAATTTAGTTGGTTATTGTGTACTATCTATAAATAATAAAAAAAGATAATCAAGCATAACAATCATTCATTGTTATAATTATTTACATTCTTTTGACTGGCGAAAATATGTAAATTATCAAGGGAGTTAGATTGTCGTCCTTATACATATATATATCTAACTTGGTATAAATATTTAATCATTATTATTGGATTTATTGCCAGCAAGTGTCCACTAAGATCACTGTTTGATCAAGTGTATTTATCCAACAGATAAGTGATAAGTTTAATGTATAAAAATATTGTATCAATCATGCTGTCGAAATGGGAAAGTTAAAAATATACCTGTGCAATACATTCATAAATAACAGTTCAATAAACACAAGGCAAGAAATAAACAAAATTAGTAAAAATGGTGAATGGTAAAAGAGTATCCAGTGACACTATCATTTATAAGATTACTCCAAGAAAACATACATATCATTCTAGTTAATCTCACTTCATATCACAATAGCAAAACGTTTAAACTATATGAAAATCAGAAGAGTTAAGCAAATAGTATCATTAAAGATAGTGAACAATCAATAATAGAAAATATACTTTAGAAATAGTCAGTCAATTGAAAAGATAAACCGTACGAAATAATCATCAACATCAAAAGTGACCGTGTAATATAGAATGAATAAATCTTTACGATAGAAGCTAATTCTGTGGTATATCGCTTATGATTTCTAATCACAAGTACAACATGGACCATCTGACGATGTATCATTGTACATTTCTTCATAGCCTGATTCTATAATCTGGTTACGTGGCTACTAAAATTTATTCATATCACTATTTTATTATAATATGTATATAGATGTAGTCATTAACAGTGTATCTAATTAGTGCTTACTTTGTGTCATATCTACTCTGTTTCAAAGTAGGTATTGACAACATACTTATATCAGTTGAAAACAACCGAAAAATTAAAACGTGTTTTGTCCAAGCTTACAACTTCTTTTAGCTGATAGACATCTTAACCTTTTAATGTAAAGTTATTCTGTTCGGTTAATGAGTCACAATTTGAAATGTGAAGGAGTTGAAAACTGGAATAAAAGAGCTTTCGAGCAATCTTTCAACTTTTGACAGTTAAGATATAGAGAATAAGGAAACAAAGATTACATATTTTAATTCAACAGTCATTATTGATTTGAATTGATATATATTTCATAGTTTATTATGATATGATGAACTCAATTTATCATTGACAAAATGACCTACAATTTAAAGCTACATTACGTATACAAAGATACTTTAAATTTATATATTATTATTATCAGCTTTATACAATATTATATTTTTGGTACAATATAGAATTCTCAGCACAAAGTATCTCAACAAGTTTCCTTTCTTATTTCTTGATCGATCCTGAAGATAAATATCGAGTGATTCCAAGTTAGAAGTCAGCAGTTCGGATATCCGAATAAGGTTTATTCTTTTCAATTCATATTGCCAGCCACTATGATGTTTCTGATTGTACTCTTTTGTAATTTGTATAGCGAAAGGTCGTAAACGTTTCATAAACACATTTGAATGGGTTTCGCAACAAATAAACACAATGTTGCGTTGAAACAAACAAAGACATATGACTTGTTGAAATACCTAGATAACAGGAACAGGTAGCCCAGATATGTCAATAGTACAGTCAATAGTGTTGATAGTATAGTAACGATATAAATAATAATTTTAGTATGATATCATTATCACACCATACATAAAGATTCGAACAAATAATAATAAACAGTTTTATTATAACTGATGAACTAAATGAAAAATGAGAAGATACATGAATTTTATCTCATTTCTTGGCATTATAAACACATTGTTATACAATGGATAATTAGTTTGATTAAGGAGAATATATTTTAAAACTAATGGATCACTATCCAATAACTTAAATTTTTTTAATACAGAATACAATTCGTTATATAATTCATCTCTTTATCTTGTGTCTTATATGAATAATTGCCTCGGTCCCCACTTACCCAAGATAGAACTAATCATAATTATTATTAATATCATTATTATTTAAAAGGAATACTGATCGTCAGATAGACAATCAACTGAAATAAATGAACCATTGATTTTAAACATTCATTATACCTGTCCTTAGATAATGAACTTGAACAATATTCAAATATTATGTTTATTTTATTCCATATTTGTAAATTTCATCAATGTTACACTATATATTGTATAATCAATCCACTTCTCGACAATGACTGATATATATATGTATCTTGTGAACTTTTAATAAACGAACGAATGAAGAATATATATGGATCAACACAGACATACATAGTGTGACATAGAAACATGAAAACCCACTCGTAGATATATATGTATATATACATATATATATATTCCTATGCGTAATTGTTTATAAATATTTGTTACATACTACTTATTATTCAGTATAATATTTCGTTTCTATTTTGGTTCATTTCTGTAAAACTAATTAAAATAACATTACTATTGTTATCATTAACAAACATAACACATATTGAAATGTCATGTTCATGGAAGTATTTTTATAGTTATTGATTTATTCATTGAAAATTATCAGACCTAATGTTTACATACCTTTTTTTATGATGACTTATAAAAGCAAGTGATTAACACATTGTTTATGTTTATCGCAATGTATCATCAATTTATGTCAGTAAATGGTTTACAATTTCATTAAATAATTATGACAATATAAGGCGTCATGTGGAAGAAATGTTGTACTATAAGCTGTATAAAATGTAGTGATCATCATCATCATCATTCTCAACCGAAGTTAAATCAGAAGAATAAATCGAAATTGAAAACAATTAAGCATCCTTCAACAAATTCAGAACATAGTCGGTCTTTATTATTAGTGAATTCTTCAAATACAAAACATGCAGAAAATAATTATAATGTGAATTCAAAATGTGATAATTTGACCACTTCTATGATCACCAGTAGAGATTATCAAGTGGAGACTCAGAATATGGTAGACGGTAGTGATCATAGAAGCATGACGACAACAGTAACTACTACTGACACTACAACAACAACTGACGTGGCCACTACATCTACTCCTACTTCCATTAATAGCAGTACAACTTCAGATTTAAGTAAAATAACTTTATATCAACCTGGATCTAACGGTAAATATAGTCAGCATTCATCACAGATTAATCCAATGAATAAAAACACTGTAAATATCACCACTACTTCTACCATTACTGCTGATACCAACGATATAATTAATGGCGATACTCATGGATCAAAAGATAATAGTCTGACCCCCCTCACATTGTCTACTATAACTAGTTCATCTGTAATAATGCGTCCAGGTAAACAATTAGAATCTTTTGTACACAGAATCGAAAAAGATGAGGAAGGCACTAGGCCATTTAACCAGTTGTTTAGGCGATCTGTTTCCAATATACATTTCACAACGAATAATCATGCTTATTCTCATTGTAATCATCATAATTCTCCTACATTTTTTTTACCACGTACATCAACTGATCCAAATACATCAACATCAAACGGTTTATATTCGATCACAAATAATTCATTTGAATCACAATTAATGAATAAAAAAATTCCTATACGTAGAGGATCGATGATTGTTAGACTGGGTCGATCTAGTACAGGTGGGGCAACTGTTGCAACTAGTACCAGTTCATCAAGTACAAATGGAGTAACTGGAGTCTTACCAGATTCATCTGTTGAAGGTGTGATTGTGACACCATTTGCTCAAGTGCTTGTTAGCATGCAACGAATACGGAATGCATTTATCAGGTTGACCGCTGCTCAAGTATCAAATAGGTGAGTACTTAACATTTTTACGATATCAACAAAGTATGTGATACTGTTTCTCTTTTTCAAAATCATCCACTTCAATATGTCATTATTTTTAATTGTAGATGTTATAGACTATACGAAGATATATATTGCTTTCCCACCTAAGAATTTATTAGCATTTAGATAATATTTTATTCTCATTACGCTTACGAATCGGTACTCTTCATTGTCATATTCTTCTGTTTTCAAACTTTGGAACCACCTTTACATAACGACTTTTTTTTACTGAATCGTGTTTATTTGAACAGACGTCTATACATTCGTACATAAAAAATTTCGCCGTGTTATCAGACTGCCAAAGCAGGACCTGTATAATGAAAGATGAACTAATCTAAGCAGAGATGGTTTAGAATTTCACTAGACGAATAGATAAATGTTGAACTAGAATAGATGGAATATGGCTAGCATTGGAATTTACGATGAACGCTTCATCCAATTTCGGACTCGTCGAGTACATCTACCTGGGTCGTAAGATTGATTTTCCCTCTGGGATTGGCACTTAATATCGTCCATTTTAAACGCCGTTGCGTTATTCATTTAGCTACTTAATCGAGATAGCCGCTCACTTGCTCAAAACGCGAGATTCGTTATATTTGGAATTCGTCGCATATATGGAGACAGTTCTCTTAGGATTCTCATATGCTAACCAAGATTGATCAAATTCCAATCAAAAATATCAACAATAGGTTAATATAAGCCATTCTAAGTTGAATTATATTCAGCAATAACATGTATTCTATTTAATAGTAATTGATAAAACAAACTGCCTTAGTACAGATTAATAGAATTGATCAGCTACAAATTCTTGGTTATGTGCAATTCTATCGGCAAAATTCGCGAATTCAGTGATGAGATAGAATGACACTTATGAAATAATAGAAGTGAGTCACAATTAGGAAATATAAACTTAACCATTCACATGCTATGTAGACAGTTGTTGAAAGATGCCTACATATATGAAAATATCAGCTGATTTTGAATAACGAAATTTGATGGTACCTTGTCATGTTAGCTAAATTTTGTATGATAGATAGTTTATTCATGCCATTATCGTATAAGCAAATAGATAATGAGAAGATATGGTAGAATTTTAAAAAGATTTCATTAGTTCCATTCAATTACATTGGAAAAGTGAACCAATGCTTGAATATTCCAGTAATTTATTTGTAGGTACTGATCACTTTATGAAATTAAATATAATCCGCCAACTTACTACTTCATTTATCTGATCATAAATGCGATCTGGACAGTCGAATAATTAATAATACCCAATAGGTCTTTAAATGTGCATTGTAAATGAGTAAACACATATTTTTTTACTATACATGAATGTTTGATACATTTTATTCCCTTTAGTCGTCGGTTTAATATCACATTGAACAAACAAATGAACCAAAAGTTACGTAACGAGCTCATTTATATTTTTTATTGTAATCTATAAAGCGTATTGCACACAATTGTTTTCGCATAATGAATTGAATGATTTTACAAAATTCTATATACAGAAAATAAACAATCATACTTTTTAATTTTTTTTACATATGAGTAATAATGCGGCGGTGTTCCAGACAGATTAGTTGTTTAGGTTTTTTTCTGAGGAGGCCTATGTAGGTCCCTCTGGAATGGATTCCTTGTTTTCAAGGCTCACAAACCCACCACATGAAATTGATTTTGTGGAGAATCACGGTCTCGCAGGTCCATCGACCGATTAGGTTGGCTAGCAATGTTGCCTTTACTATCCAGCAGCGCTGCGAGGAGGCCTTATGTTCACATTTTTCTGCCGACTATTAAGGTGTATGGGTAAAAGTTAATAGGATAAGGCATAAATCGAATTTTGGTAGTTAGAAATTTAAGTTCAAACTTTACGAATAGAATAACTATCTGTTAGTCAGTAATGATGAATCAAAATATGAAAAAGTAAAATATGATTAATTCGTGTAATTTTATTTCACCTCCTTATAATGAAATATTTAGTAACGTTGTAGTCTAATTCAGTAATCATTTAGTACGACGTTACTGACTTTAATGTACATCATATTTATGATTGTTTTATATTGTAAAACTGTTTATATTTGTAAATTTATCATACTATATACTTATGGACATTAATGAACCGTAACTACGACTGTATAACTTTAGTCAATTTTCTCTAAAATTTGTATTAATTTCTCGATTACAATTAACTTTTAACACTAGTGTTGTTATTTCTGTCACTCATGTACTAATGAAGTTTATAGAATATGATATAGAACTAGGTGAAATATAAATGGAATAAATTAAAACGAAGCGCGTTCATACTAACAAACTAACTTCACATCACTGACAATCTGTGTTAAATAATATACTAAATTGGTAGTAAATTTTAATGTTATTCAATGTTTAATACTAGTTGTATGTAGAACTATTGATCTTTGATTTCAGTTGTACTTAAGTTGATCGGGTTGAATATACAGGAAAACATATCAGCTTTCAGACAATATCAAAATTACTTCGTTATATAAGAAAAGTAAAAACCGATTTCATCAAAAGGTATTTGAGGAATTTTATTGTTTATCCTAGTTACACATCGGTTCGTCATATAAACCATGGAAGTTTAGCACTTTCCACAGTATTCTATGATCATAATCTCAGTATGCTTACCAATGACTAACTTCGTGACGTAACTCTAGTGAAAGCCATTACCGTTTGTGGAGTGAGACGAATATGAGCATTCGTAGGATCATGAATTAATTAGAGTTAGACATGTAAACCACTCTGAGCCAGCTCAATGGTTTTAGCATACGTTGTGAGACTTGAAAACTTTGGATTTTTCTACAGGTTGTGTTGTGGATGTGAATTACTAAGTAATTCTATTTTAAGGTGAAACAATTGTTCAGTGACTATCTAAATAAGGTCAGCTCGCGATGTACATTATGATATTTAAGTTTCATTTATTTATTATAACTGGAATAAGAAAATATTACATTTTTCTATTGATTAAGCAAGTAATAATGATATTTATATTATGAGGTCAATTACAATAAATAAAGAATGGAAGAATTAATTTCTTTTATGAAACTCTAGAACATTCACAGGTCAATTTGTGCATGTGAACAAGAACCTTCTGGGTACACAAATAATTAGTTATGTGTGACTTCTTGTTAATCAGGTCAATTTTCTCATTATTATTGTTATTACTCATTTCTGCAAACATGTAGACATTTTCTTGATTTACCTTTTAAAATCGTATGGTTTTTGTTGATTAATTTATACACATAAAGTGAAAAATAATTAAGTAAATAATAATCGTAAATAATTATTTACAGTATCGTGTTTAATTAGAAGTAAAAAGTAGAAAAATCAAATATTCTCTGCTTGGTAACTGTACATACATAGATCAATATGTGCGTCTTTATGTATTATGAAATATTGTCACTCTTGTGGCCCAGGTTATCAGGCTGTTTGTTTATAGGGGCCATTAATGATGTGTACACTATGGGCCTATTAGACAAATGACATTCAGTTTAATTAGTAAAATGATTATATTGACAATAATTAGTCTTAAACAACAAAGATGAATAATCTCATTAATATTAGTTCAGAAAGCAGCACCCTTTAAACCTTAGTAGATATTCAGAAGTCGAAACAAACCGAAAAATAAAACCTTGTTTTATTGTCAATCATCATGATTAAAACACTCATAGGCTTGTACACAATAATCATCAGAACACAATTCATGATTATCAGGTGCACAACCAAGACCTAAGTGTTATGGAATGAAGTAAAAAGTAAATGATTAATTAACCATGATTTGAGGAAGGAAAATATAAAAATACAACAATCTGGTTATTTTGTAACTAGTTCTGATAATCTTCGTCTTCTTATTACATTATCGAAATTTATCAAAGGGACTAATTGTTTTATATTTTATAACCATTTAACGAAAATGTATTTAATCCAAGTTGTACTTAAAAATGGTTTACAGCCAAAAATCACTTGGATTTAGTTTGTCAATCAATTCTGTACTTAGAATAAGTCTTATTTAAAAAAAAGTAGTATCATGAATTTCGTTATAAACTGGGTGAAATATATAATTCAATTATAAAACTGTGGTAATAATGGGTGTTTGTACTAGTTATAAAAAATTTATGCCATACATTGTTTACACTTATGAAATTAAAAATTAGTCCACTTAATCGTAATCAAGCTCAACGGCTACAACATTAATGTTGAACGTGATGAATGAATATAAATTAAGTTAGTGAAAATTCACTTTCTTTGAAATTTTTAGCTTATCATCTTTGTGCACTACAAATATTGAAAAATTCCACATTTTTCAAGGTATAATAATTAATTTATAGAGATTACAGTCAGACGTAAACATTGAAAATGATCTAAACTACCATAATACACTGAAATTCATGTTTAAGCGCACTCTCAAACCTATTGAGGTTTGAAATAATAGGAATATGGCTCGATTTCAAATTTGGACATCAACATTAAGATGTTTAGTTCATCCAGTTAAATTGTCCCGAATGGAATGATATGAGTGTCTTGGGTTCCACTTTTATCCACCATCCAACCCTACTTCAAAACATATTGTTTTTGGTGCATTAAAGGATAAACGTTATAATCGTCAGTCACTTGATAGGTTGTATTTATCATAAGAAATGACGTTGTCCTCATGCAGTAGACATGCTGATATTCTTGATTAGTTTGATAGTTATAATTAGATGATAGTTGGCATTGACCTAGATCATTATTATTTTGACTCGTTGTGGTTACACTCTAAGAATATTGTGGTTTAAACAATATGTCATGGTGTTATTATAAATGACTTACATATTTGATATTTATAATTACGTCAAGCCTGCTTTCACCTATTTATTCGAAATGTTCTGGGTTTTTTTTCTAAACATATCACATGCCTTATTCAATTTAAACAGAATTTTTTCATAACAATTTTAAAGCCTTAAGTCAAAAAA